AGCTTTTCGATCTGATTTTCGATCATACCACTGACAATCTGATTGTTTTACATCTGACAGAATTTGTGCATTGAGGTAAGCGGTTACTGGTTTTATTATCTATGACTCTCATTTTCAGATTATTTTAAATCTTTTTATTATTTAATAACTTCAGAATATTAAACATATTTATTCATCACATAGTTGACTCAATTTTTCTTTTTTTTTTTTAACTGACATTCTCGCAGAGTGACCGCCCAATCGTCTACCTCCACATATCCCCATGTATATATATCTTTTTGTTTTTAAAAAAATAAAACAAAAAAGAAAAAAAGGATGTGGAATTACTGCGAGACGTTTCACAAGTCAAAGCACATTGAATCGATAATTCAAACATATTCGACCGCTGAATTAGATCGGTGCGTTATCCATCTGGACCGTTACACAACGTCATGCGAGTTTTTTATATATCTCTGACAACTCAAGTAAGATTAGTTTTTTATAATTCCGACATTTGATACCAATTTTATGTAGGCTTAGTGTCAACGGCTGAATTTTCTAAACAAAATGCGATAACCTTGCAACGTATACTTATTTTTATTTTCATTAATTTCATGTTATTTTCTTTCTCGAATTTTTGCTCACTGAAGATGGCCAAAATAAATGAGCCAAAACGTTTGAGTTAACTAATTGTTAACTTTTCTTTACTGAACAACCAACACCCAGCTCTGGGCTGACAAAGCTATATTTTTTAATATGATAAATTGCATACTTAATAAAAGACTATACTGATAATAATGTTTCAAATTTTATACAATTATTTACAATATTTAGAAAAAAATAACACTTTATCGATATTATTTCAAGAGTGTTGCAATTCACTATTATTAAATATTAAAGTGTAACAGTGATCGACTTTTCTTTTGGATTAATTAATAAGTGCAACAAAAATGTAATTAAATTGTAATTTTCCTTTAAAAATTATAAACACAATCTACAACGAAAAATCTATTAAAATTTTAATTAGCTTTTTAATTATCGTTCCGACAGAATTCGAAGCCAGATATACATTCAAATTGGAATATAAATTAAATCGATTTCGAAATATTTAAAATTAAACTTTGCTGTAATTTCCAGCTAAATTTCTTTCTCGAAATGTAGTACTTCATCATGTATAATATATGCAACTAAACAAAAAAATGGAAAAACAGCTCGCGCGCGAAGTAAAAGCTTTCAAGCGTGCAGTCGTTTAAAACTTTTTTCGTTTGCAGTAGAATTCGCGATAGAATGGGACGCTTGTTCTAAATAAATGTTCACACTTGGTTCTGTTAACTTCATCTCGTAATTTTTTTTTACGTTATTATCGTAAAAATATATTAAATAAATCCAGTTCTTGTTTCTTTCAGTGACAAAAAATTTCATTATTTATCAGATAAAATCGAATTAATTAAAATCGGCGTTTTAATGTAATTGGTTTTATTTGAAATTTGATTTATTTTACAGGTGATCCACAGCGAGGAGGACAGAATGTGGATGGTAAAAAAACCGAAAATAATTTTATGTCCAACTGGCAATGGTCATCCTGACGTGGTTCGCATACGGAGTGCCCATCAAAAGGATCTCAAGACTGTTCTTCCTTTTTTACTCATTACGCCGCTCTGGTTGAACGTCGAAACATGCAATTCTACGGTGAAGATTTTAATACCCGCCTTTTCAATGATCAGTATAATGTATACTTTAGTACATATGCAATTGATAAAAATGTCCGCTCCTTGGAAATTCTACTTTTCTATAAGTTTATATTACATTTTGACTTACATATGCGCAATGACTGCACTGAGATATACTGTTTCTATCCCGAAATTGATTTAGCTAATAAGAATAAACACAGAAACTATGAGAATATAATATGTTATATTATAAACTGATTTCACGGAAGAATAAACAAAAATATTTTAAAATCAAATCTAATTTAAGTGTTGACGGCCATACTTATTTTCTAACAATATACTTATTAAGTGTAAAAAAATAATTTATATTTTAGTTGAATAATTTTTAATTGTACCAATCACGTATTATTATGCAGAATTATTATAAAATTGTTTATATATACATGCATTTTTGTAGATGTAGGTACTTAAAAAATATTTATTACGTTAAATACATGACAATTCTCAATTTCTCGCTAGAAGAGTTTCAAGATTCACGTGATATTTTCTGTGTATACGATATCCAAGAATGTTGTAAGTTCCTGTTAAAACTCAAGAAAAGCTAGCTTGTGATTATGTAAAAATTACAATGGATAGCGATTTTCATTATATCGCAACAAAAAACATGTATTACAGTATCAAATAAATTATAGATTAATGTTGAAAATATGGTGTAAAAACAGATATAATAAAAAAATATGCACGTAAATAATCCAAATATTTTTTAAGAAAATTTGTATAGATATATTGAAACAAGCATCTTTTTGTTTAAAATGTTTTACGTACAATTATAAATCAATAAGCACGTATAACAACATTTATTCTTAATAGTTAAGTTAACTTTATTTTAAATTCATATTTAATCCATGTAAAATGCAACGTTCGAAAATATGTATTATCTCTTTACACACAATTTACATATTCATGTAAAAGCAAAATGTCATCGAGAACTTGTCTAACAAGTTATCTTGTTTCCTCACCAATACCAATATTTCCGAAGTTACTACTTAAAATTAAAATTGCTGTTTTTTGTATTTATTCTGAAAACAACAATGAAATATGCTTCTTGCGACAACTAACCTTGGATTATAAAAGGAAATTATTTCGATAACTCATTATTCAAGATTAATGAAGAGCGATATAACAAAGTAATACGAATAACACGAATAATAAGCAAATGCAGTCGCGTAATTGTGCAATTTTAATGTTTTTATTTAATAAAAAAACAATCAGACGCACAGGGACAGAAGAAAAAGTTTTGCCAATAATACCTTATTTAAATATTCATATAATTACTTGAGCAACATTTTTCAAAAACGTCGCATTATTCCAAATACATTTTAAATTGCATTTAAAAATATTTCAATATTTATTGATTTTATTTTTCAACATTTTTTCTAGACTTTTATACTTTATATAATAAGTTTTTTAATGTACACTACCGCTCATTAATTTTAATACACCACCCAAATCTCTTGAGGGTACACTGCACACCACCAAGAAAAACCTTCTCCAGGCGAGCAATTTCACGCAAACTAGGTCCTGCATTTCTCAAAGCGACTATGGCGACTATCGCTTTTCGATTGATAACTCCTTCTTGGGAGCCATTTACGAGACCACTTTACACATTTTCACAAGTTGTCACAATATCACAGTACAAGGCGAACACCGGAGCCCTTTCACTGTGTATGTGTTGATAAATGGGTTTCAAAACAGCATTGGGCGTGTATCTGATCACTACGAGAACCTCGTAACCTTGCGCACGTATTTTGTTTATTTCCAGGGATCTGACATTATCCGGCTGTTAATTTCGTTTCTTCGAAAACTAGTTTTCAAAAATTTTTATATAAATAATGTATTTAAATACGATGCATGTGAGTGCTGAAAGTGTTTTTAACAGCAGGTGGACTCATTTCTGTGCAAAATATACGTATCACGTTCATTCTTTACAGAGAAATCAACAAATCTGGGGTGTATTGAAATTAATGAGCGGTAGTGTATATACATTTTATTTTATAAAAATCTTTATGATTTAAAATTGTTTGGCTTTATTTCGACTCTGAGATATATACACGTTTTAGTCTTTAAATTACACTTCCAAATTTAGAAATATAAAAATATTTAAAAATTTTATATCGATAATAAAACAGGTAATTTGCATCAATAAGTTTTCTCTAAGAATAATAAGAAAATACAGAATTAACTATATAAGACTTTATTATATTTATAATGAGTTTTTTCTATAAGCTGTTGTATAACAGCCCCACTTTTAAGCACACACACACAACATCTCAAAGTTTAATCGTCATCATATTGATACAAGTCATCTCAGAGAGCGATCAGTTTCTCAGCTTCACGTTTACATTTCGGTAGATTCAACTTTCTTAAACTCATTGGTAAGTTAACTTTATTTACGCTAGCACTAACAGCTTTCGACTTTTAATTATATGCCGAACAGTCTTGTTAATTTCACAGATAATTCGCATGTGACATAGACAGATAATTATGTGACATGTAATTATGTGAATATAATTACGTAATTGTATGCCAAATTTAATTATGTAATTTTAATTATGTAATATCTATGCATATTATACCATTAAGTACCCAGTAAGCAACACTTGCGCTACGCGTGATAGCATTGATAAATTGACATCAATTGACCTAACCTAACCTAACCCTACATCGCTAACATTTGTGTATCTGAAATATTTAAAATAATGAACAAATAAAACAGTTGCACTTACCGGTTCAGGTATTGCAATTTTCTCGATCTGCTGTAAATTTTGCTTTAAACTGCAATGCATCGGCTCCATCGAAGAACACCGGCATCGACGAATATCGAAAACCCGCACTTATTTATTACGCGCACTACCGAACGAAAATCAATCGATGCGTTTTATTTTCAAAAATCATGAATTTACATCGCGAATTTGCCACACCGTGATAATGTAAATGCAAGATAAAACGGCCACGCAAAAGTTATTAGAACACACGCGCAACGATTACGACGACACAACGCAACAACGACTTTCATCAGATTTAATTTCAATGAGCTAAATTTTCAAAATGTTACATTTAACAAAATACATCGCGCGGCCATGATGGTACTGGAATCGTACTGATTTCAATTCATGATACGATCAGATCGATAAAATGTCAATCACGTCAATAATACGTTCCAGAAATTGCTCTAAGCAACACTTCTAACAAAAAAACCTCATACTTATTATGCATTTTTAATACGAATATAATACATAATTAATCGCGAAGCATTTGCGTTCTACGTTCTGAACAGACAAACAGTAACAAATGGTAAAGAAAGGGCCAGAAGAGAGCGCTTGCATCGCCGAAAGTCTTGTTCTTTAGGGTATATCCACAAAAACTTGCATAGCGTACAAGTATATGCAAGTTTGGTGGATATATCTTTATAGCTGCATATGTACACTTGTAATAACTCAAAGTGAGATAGATATATAATTAGAAAAAGAGAGATGAGAGAGAGAAAGAGAGAGAGAAAGAGAGAGAGAGAGAGAGAGAGAGAATATATAAGAAAAATGCAGCTACAAAGAACTCATTTAATATTTTCTAAGAAATTGCTCATTATACAAACGATAAGAATATCGATATGACGATAATACATCTTTTATTTTTTATCTTTTATGTTTTATCTTTTAATACATCTTTACACTTTTCAACAAGTTATATTAGGTATAACAAGATAATAACACTCAACGTGTTTTAATATGAATATGTATAAATATTTGAATAATTAGATAACAATTTATGTATAAAAATGCGGAAAAGACAAAACATATTCTAATTTATGTACAAGAACGCGATAAAGGTGAAAGATTTGCATGAAACTTATTGTTACCATTTCAATACAATTTGAATAATCACAACGGCAATACCAAAGACTTCTTCTAACATAAGACTTACGGAACAATACGATTAACGACATGATGACAGCATGATGGGATTAATTGTCTATTCTCTCCATTAAAAATGCAATTCTCGATCGCGCGCCATTCGCATACTCAACCAATGCGAACATGTGCACACACCAATTTGGCTGCCCACGTGACCAATTGTAGCCCAGGGTACCCAACTCAAATTCCATGTGCCAAACTGATTCAGTATATTCAAGTAGAATATTTTTAACGAAATAAATATAGAAAAGCATGTAGCAAATAAATATAACAGCACTTTCACACGTATACATTACATCTTTATTATTACTGAAAATATAAAAAATAAATCCAATTTTTCGATTGTTTTTACAAAAATCATTAACACAGAAGTAATTAAAATAATTGATTCCTCGATTAAGTTTACTGATCAACAACTTTGTTGATCGTTTATGTTAATTTATCATAAAACTGCAAATGTAAACTATAAAAAAAGATAATTTTTTAACCTCGTGTTGACACTCCTGCCTTGAACATTGGACTACATTGGACTAATAACACAGGCGGGATGACATACATAATAGAACATAATATATGTATCAAAAAAGTTGCTGCGTAGAGAAGACAATGCAGGATACCACTAAAAAGAAGTATTTTGAAGTGTTTTATACATCTACGATAAACAGATTGCAAAGCAAAATAAATCCTACATAGGAAATTTATCTTTCGACGTGAGTTTGTTGATAAAATCAAACGCCCCACTGACATATTATTTGGAGGTTATGTAATAATTGCTATCAAATGCCTTCAACAAAGGCAGTTGGGCATAAGAAACTCGTCATACAGTATTACGTACGATGACCATTAATTATGATGAATCAGCCAGTAATAGTCATCCTAGTGCCATGTCCATTCTGTGATCAAATAGAATTTGAATTGTCATTTGTATCAAATAGATTGTTCTATATCTCATAACTAGTAAATATCATGTTTTTTATTGTGAGGAGATGATGGAATTGCAAGAAAATAGTGCTAAAAGACAATCGTGCTATAAATTTTGGCAGAGTGTACCAGAACGCATATCCAGGGGGGTGGAACATTTTTTTTATCGGTGAGTTTTCATCAAACAGATTAATAAATAGCAAATAATGAGTTTAATAATAGACTAATGCCTTTATTTTTATAGGCTTGGAGTAAATATTGCGCAAAGTCCACTGAAATGGATGCTTGGATGTTTTGTGATAATACTACTCTGTATCTTAGGATTATTTCGCTTTCGACAGGAGAAGAATCCTGTAAAGCTTTGGGTTCCTCCGGATAGTGATTTTGTGTCAGAGACGGACTGGCTAATGTCGCATTATGAAGAAGCTTTAAGGATTGAAACATTTATTTTAACTGGTGATAATATCTTAGAACAGAAAGCACTCATTAAGGTAATTATATATTGTAATAAATATGTTTTTTATGCTTTTCTCATGTAATTTATTATGTAGATACCAGTAAATATATATATTTTTATTGTTTATCACAGTTAAATGAAATAACTAAACAAATAATGAAGCTCTCTACTCAAACACAAAATCAGAACATTTCTTGGACAAATGTTTGTATGAAGTAAGTTTAAGATATATATGAAATTTTCATTAGAATCAATTCTATATTAAATATAAAATTTTACATTTTAAACTGACATAAAGATTTTATTATATTAGAAAGATTTGTCTATATAATTGTATATATTCAAATTTTATAAAAATCTTATTTTATTTAAACATTACGACAAATTTTTAATATATTTATTTTCAATAAATGAAGTACTTAATGTAATCATTATGTAAATTGAAATTGTTTACAGAATTCCTACTATTTCTGGTCAAATGTATAGAATGAAAAGAGAAAGCTCTCACATAGAAGATAATTTTTTTGATGATGATTTTGTTTCGAAAAGCAATAAATCTTCGTTTGAGCCTGCTGTTCATGTTAATCCTGACTTATATTGTAGTATACTTGAAAGTTTACCTAAGGCTTGTGTTATGTTAAGTATTTTAGATATATGGAATTTTAATAGCGCAGAAATTGAGAAAGATTCTATAGACAAAATCATCACAAAAATAAATACAATAAAAGTCAGCCCCACATTGGGTCATCCTATAGACTTCAGTGAGCTTTTGGGAGGCGTAACTCTAGATGAGAATGGTTGGATTATAGCTGCAACAGCAGTAAGGACCGATTTCATGGTTCACGTTAATTTTCGCAATGTGGATATGGATAAAATTGGAAATGCTGCAGGAACTGCTGATTGGGTAAAGTGAGTTCATATAAAGGCCTGAATCATAACATATCTGTTGATGAATGTCTTAATAACACATGAAATCTTAAATTTTATCGTAAATTAAGTACTATTTTTTGTTGCATTGAAAATGGTTGGAAATAAAATTAATAAGAAGATATTATTTAAAAAATTTTTTTGTGTGTTATCTATGTGTGCTATCTATATGATTTAGGCCTTATACTATTTTTAGCGAACTTGTATAAGATAAGAGAATAATCTTATCGATTAACTGTACTTGAGTATTAATATCAGACTTTGTTGTTGTACGTTATCTATATATATCTATGTATCATTATTATACTACAGACGTAATCGTTAACGCTTCTTGATTGTTCAACGCTATTGGCAATTAAACTTGTTTGATTTCTATTCATGAATCCACTTGAACCTTCCACCGAAGGTCTATTCTTTCATATAAGATCATTTGTTACCATCAATTATGACATATCTTTTATTATTATTATTTATTAATTTTTTTGCAAAGATAGCTCAAAATTTTAGTGTATTTAGCATTGTTTATAATTTATATAGATTTAATACAAAAATTAGACAGATTAATTTCTAATAAAAACTAATTATTTATACACAGGCAACACCGGATGTATTAGAGTGGGAGTTAGCTTTTTTGAAAAAAATGGAAAAGTTTTCAAACAACTTGAAAATCGAGGAAAATAAGAATAATTCTTTGGTGCTTTATTATCAAACTGGCAGAAGCTACGGCGACATTACTGCAACGACCATATTTCAAGATATTGATAAATTGGCTGTGGGAATTATATTAATGTTTTTATATGTTTTGACAATTTTGTCAAATCATAATTGGGTAGAATGGCGGGTATGTTTTAGTTCCCTGGTTACACAAATATGATACAAGCTTCTGTGATTTGATATCTTCAGTTATTAAAAGTTTTTTTTTTTTTACAGTTCTGTCTCACTAGCACTGGCATTTTATGCGTGGGCGGTGCGTTTATACTCGCGATAGGATTATGCTCTCTAATCGGAATTCCATATGGCCCGATACACACATCTCTACCGTTTTTACTCTTGGGTCTTGGGATAGATGATATTTTTGTATTTCATGCATCTTGGAATCAGATACACACTGACGAATCGAATTTGGAAAAATCACTAACGGAAAGAATTGGACTTGCATTAGGCCATGCCGGTTCGGCTATTACTGTTACTTCGTTTACCGATGTCGTGGCATTTATCATTGGTGCTTCCACGGTAAGTACAAGATTAATTGTAGTATGCATGAAGAATGCATAATGTCAATGATTATGGCACGAAGAATACGTAACGTCAATTACTGTCAAATCAAATACAATCGCTTCTATTTGGATTTTTTTTTTATTTAGATTTTAAATCAAATATATATTCCAAACCTAAATTTCAATAATTTTTTATAACTATCAATTTTGAGTTATAAAAAAATATTACAACATATTTTTTCTTAATGTTCTGCTTTTAATTTTTCTAAATAATAATTTTACACATTTGGAGTGTTTTTCTAAAAATCTTCATTTTTTGAATAAAGATATTAAAGACTCGGATTTAAAATTCAATTTGACAACAATAAAGTATACGAGATATTTGCTAAATTTTTTGTTTTTGCGCGTAAAAATAAAAATAGATTCACTATCGGTTTGATTTAGGTAAAATAGTTTCAATATACATTTAAACCGGTGTCGGATTATTCGATTTACGTTACGCACTCTTTATTTTTACGAGGAAATAATTATAATGGAGGAAAAGCATCGTTGTAATATCTGCAATGTCCTTTTCTAGATATTACCATCGCTTCAATCGTTTTGCATCTATGCCGCGGTGGGCGTATTTGTAACATTTTTATTACAAATTACATTTTTTATTGGCTGCTTTACCTTGGACGCTAAAAGAATAGAACGGAAACGAAACGGAATGTTACCATGTATTGTGCATGAAAATTTCACACCCAAACCATTGGATCCAAGCAGAGCTCTCTCTTGGAAATTTATAAACGCTTTATATTCCCGCGTAATATTGACTGCACCTGGGAAAATTATTGTAATAATAATTACGCTTATAGCAATGTCTATAGGTATCGTGGGTTCACTTCAGTTGGAACAATGGTTCGATCCAAGCTGGTTGTTGCCCAAAGGATCACATTTAGAACAATATATAGCCATCACTAAAGACACATTTCCTAAACAAGGATTTGAGGCCTTTGTTATTATGAGAGACAATGTCAATTACTCTTCTGAGTTTCCTAAGATAATATCTTTAACAGAACGCTTAAAGAATACATCTTTTGTACAAAGTATGGACCCATGGCCGACTCAATTTGCGACATTCGTGTCGACGCATTTTAACACAGGTTACTTGCCATTTAACATTTACTTGTTAGCTTATCTTAATAACAATTTATCTTACAAAAAAATTTTTTAAATTTATTTTCATTATAGAAGAAAATATTTCTGAAATTAAAGTAATCTATACTTAAGACTTCTTTAAATTTATACAAGATTTGATTTTAAAATTAACATTACGCTTGTCGATAACTTGGATATTATCACGAAAGTAATTGGAGGACGTTTATTTTTGTATCAGATTTGACGACCACGGAGATCACAGACGACGATTTTCATAGTTACCTGTCGAAATTTCTGTTCAGTCGCAATGGTGGCAAATATCAGAGAAATTTCATTTTCAATGAGAAGCTTAAATGCGGTAGGAAAGCTCCGAAAATTCTGATAGCGACCATTGACTTCCAGTTTCTGCGATTCAAGGGGCCTCACGAGTGGATTCCAGCAATGGATGACAGTAAACGCTTTGCGAGCGAGGCCGAAATTCATGGACATGTGTCGGTGTGGTCCAAAGTATTCCCACCCTGGATAACCGACAAGTTAATTGCCCAGGAAGTGTTGCGAAATCTTATATTGGCACTAATTTGCGTCATGGGTACCACAGCGATTCTCATCGCCGAGATGCAGACCTGCTGTTGGATTTTATTCTGTGTACTTCTCACGCTGCTAAACGTTTGCGGCTTCATGTATTTTTGGGGATTGACGATAGACGTGGTGTCCTGTATTGGTAAGTATATTTTATATATATATATATTATCTTCTCATAATCATATTTTATTTTATTACTTTGTATAAAATATGAATTAATGTGTAAACTAAAGGTACGAAATTTCGGCCTTTACTTAATATCGTTCCAATTTTATAAGGTATCAAATAAATCCCTTGTGAATTAGGTTCGTTTATCACGAAGACGTCATTGTTGAACGCGAATAAAGATCCCGCTCTATCCAAGAAAGTATAAAAAGAGTATAAATGAATATACATCCTGCAAGATCGTAAAACCGCTTACAAAGTGTGAAGTAGTTAATAACTTACCAACTGTTATTATCCTATCCTGCGTAAAACTGAAGTTCCTCTTAAATAAACGTCGTTATATCGATGCACTTTTAATACACACGCGAATCGCTTCGAGTTTGTTTCAAGCGCGAATTTCAAGAGCGACTTCTTCGATCAGGCTGTCTAGCTTCAACTGTTCTCTCAGTGTGAATTCTTTGCAGGTCTCGAGCTAGCTGTCGGTTTGAGCGTGGATTATGCTGCACACGTCGCGCACGCCTTCCTGAATGCCGAATCGCAAGAGGATGACGATAATGCTCGTACAACGCGAGCTCTAATCGCGGTCAGGCACATCGGTGCGGCAGTTGCATACGGCGCAGGTTCGACGTTGCTCGCCGTTTCGATGCTGGCCTTCTCGACGTCCTACATATTCATGGCCTTCTTTCGGATATTCTCCTTGGTAATCCTGTTTGGACTTTGGCACGGGTTGATCCTGTTACCGGTCGTGCTAAGCACCATCGGACCGCGAAGTTTGCGCGTGATGCAGCGGCCGCAACCGATGTCGGAAAAAGCCGTTGTTACTGACAATGAAGATTGAAGTGGAGATACGGATAGTTTGTTCACGCACCCTCTTTATCAATAATATTTATTTTTGGTTCAATAAACATACAAAATTATTACACTATCCGTACTATTAATCACACATTTATACAAAAATAATAATTAATAATAATAATACGTCGGATAACTTAAAAACGGCATTATTTATAGATTTTTATATATATATATTTATATAATATATTAAGATTAAAAAATTAATAGTAAAAACAAGTACAAAATAATGTAGCAAGATTGATATAGATTTATTATCAATTATCATCGATCAGAAAGGAACATGACTATTATTAACGTAACGTAATCATGTTTTGCTGGATGCGTTTACCCTTTATGTATAATCGTAATTAATATTTATGACGTAAAAATGAGCGGCGAGGGAGCAACCTCGGGATTGATTGGCGAGCTCCCTCCGCTGCCTCTCTCAGTCTTGCACAGTCCATCTAACATTCGTTCGACCTTTCATTCACGCGACCCGGTCCTCTTTGTCTCTTCTTCCAACTCGTTCCATCCACCTCTCTCGGCTCAGCCAGACGTGTCTATCCAGCCGACGGAATGACGGCGAGAGGAGATAGAATACGCGTATACGGCTCGAACAAGACGCACAGAGAGGCAGGGGTATAATAGACACACAGCTATTCGTACTCGCTCGCACACTAGCGTACAGCGGAAACACTCTCTGGAGGCGCGCACGTTGTCTCCACATCCAAGCACACGACGGTAGTTAGACTGCCGGGGGGCAGCAAGCCACGCACGAACGATACGGCGATTAAGTTATTACACATCTTAGTTAAGTCGAATTTTACAAATCGGGATTCGTATATTCCATAATTGATGAGGAACCATCGATATAATAATAATAATCATAATAATCATAATATTTACTTAGCAAAACGTGCCGATCGGTAATTGTGTGGCGAATGACGCGTGATGTGAGCACAATTATTTGCGTTAAAAGACGGGGTGTCGGGGTGTAAATCGGACTGGTGGGAGTGTGTGGTGAGGCTCAAGGCGTCCGGGGGGGGGGGAGACGGAGGACGGCGAGGATCCACAATTGGTAATACGACGGCCGGGGGACAGATACAGGGGAAGAAGAGAGGCGGGATTCGAGGACGACGGTGACCGAAGGGCGGTGGACTGTGAGGAAGTCGCACGTCTGCTCGCCAGGGTTTCAAGGTACACGCACTTAGGGGTACACCGTGGGAAAGACACTCAGGGCAGACAGACACCGACATAGAGACTAGGCTACCGACTATATGTTAATATCTATCTAAACGTGTAATTAGCGTACGCACCGCGTACACACCCGGTACGCCCGCACTCCGCCCGCCTTTTGCGTGCACAATCGGTTGCGGATGGCGCGTCAGAAGCGCTCTCGCCGTCTTTCGTTTTATTTTTTTTCTTTTTATCTCTCTTTCTCGGCTTTTTTCATTTTATTATCATTATTTTTTTTTTGTTTTTTTTCTTTCCTTTCATATAATCAGCGATCGCGTCGTAGTCGTGTCTTTTTCCTTTCTTTCTTTTTTTTTTTTTTTTTATAGTAAAGGCTATGTAGTCTTTATTACTCAAGCTTATGCCCAAAAATCTACCAGAGGCACTTTGGGTTTATTAGTACCATTTGAAGTCGGCGTGCGCGGGGGAGGGTACCGCACGCCCCGTTCTCCTGCGCGGAACAGCGGGCGAACGACGTGAGCACGTATTCACGCCTCATCCTCGAGAGAAACCGTTTGGTTTGGTTTGGTTGGTTGGTTGGTTGGTTGGTTGGTTGGTTGATTGGTTGGTTGGTTGGTTGGTTGGTTGACCCCGTCATTAATCGTATCATTTCTCGCCTCTTCTTCCGTCGCGCGATTATTACCCTGTCTGGCCTTCGCCACCGCGTAGATTCCACCGTCTCTTCTTCCGACCTTCCACCCTGCCCTCCCCCCAAACTCCTCTCCCATGAGCCTACCAACAACTCCGTATCTTTCTCCCGCTTCTTTACCTTTCCACCACGGTCTTCCGATGTTTTTTGAGCAATAAATACTTTCTCCACGTACAACTGCACATTGAATTGACGCACAGGACACACGCACACGTCGGGCAGTCATCATTCGCTACCAGCCGCACGCATTGACAGAACGAATATTAAATGCAAAAGCTGCGAGAGCACGGGGAGACGCTCGTATTGCAGAGAAAGATTTGGCTCCGAGTTGCATTAGTTCCTTATTTTTCAAAAGTATGCAAAATTCCACCAAGATCGGGCACTCTGTAGATCGGATTTATCGTCGGACACAACATTTATAGATCACATACGTTTGTGATTTGGCGATTTGTGCGTAAACACGAAGGGAATGATAATTGATCGGGCAACTTATTATTAGTTTCACCGAGGCAGCAGCCCTCCGGCAACATGAGCATCCAGACACGAAATTCCGAAGTGACAGGTGTGCCCTCTTCTCGGCGCTGTACAATGCTTTCGGCTCTCGATCAGACACACGTTCATTCGTGCGGTTTCACTTTCATGCACACCAAATATGGTTACATCCACAGAGTTAATGTTACGCTTTTAATTAATGATTATCAATTCAATATCAATTCAATATCAATGTATTACAATCAGACAATACTCAACAGTGATCGTTATTCATTATATATTACAATAATTAAGAGTGACAACAACATGACGACGGAGGCGTTGAAGCATTACAAGGGAGAAAGAGAGAGAGAAAGAGAGATAGATAGATAGAGATTGAGAATGGCGTGAAGATGAATCGTGGGAGGATGAAGGAAGAGCAGGAGAGCAGTTTCGGTTGTTGGAAATTCTATGAATCATGTATGAGAGGAGAGGGAGATAGTGACAAGGATGTGGAGGGGGGGTGGGGT